GTACTACTTGACTATACAGAAGGTATAAATTTGAGACATTCGTAAGGAAATGGATACACTTTGAAAACATAATGTTAAGTGAGATAAATTAGACACACAAACTTAAATATAGTATGGTTTCTTTCATTCTTGTAATCCAGAGTACAAATAAAGAGCAAAATAAAAGATAGATAGAAGGAAACAGAGAGATATATCTTCTGCAAACAGGAAGGGTAGAGAGACTGAGGGACAGGGAAGAGGGAGGGGAAAGGGATATGAAAAGATTTAAGAAGCATCATGTACGTGTACTAAGTACCCACAATGGATGTAATCATTATATGTCACAAACATGAACTAAAAATACTAATAACAATACTAACGAAAATGGGGAAGAAAGATCTAGACATGGAGAGAGGGAGGCGAGTAGGGGAGGGGAATGAAAAGAAGCAAGATTTGTTAGATACATGTATGTGCTCCATAAGGTGAATGTGAACATCACGTACTGCAAACATGTACATGTAAAAAATAATTGAAAATATAGAAAACAAGCTCTAATCTGCCAGATAGACACAGAATTTTTTCTGTGGTGAAATAAGATGTTTTGCATTATGCTAAGAAGCCACAGATAATGTCAAATGCATGGGTCCCACATTACTTCAAATGCTGCTGGGAGGAGACAGTCATTTGGAGATGAGCCCACTCCAGAATATAAGCTTGACAGTGCCATGTAGCAAGTGCTTTGGGGAAAAAAAGAAAGGAGGTGGCAAAGATTCTGACCTGCACACTCCAAATGTGGCCTCTCCCAGCTGAGGGAGCGGGGTGGCTTGGTAGGCCTGCTGTGGGGCTCAGCACCTCAAACCTGGCCGTTTACCTTGGCCAGGCTATTCATATTTTAAAAGTGGGAGTTAGGATATAATAAGACTTTGTTTCAAAATGACAGGGAAAAGGTAGATTATTTAATAGTTTTGGAACAAGCAGATAACAAGTGGAGGGGAGGAAGAGTCAAGTTTTAATTTCACTCTTCATGTAAAAATAAATTGAGGATGGAAAAAAAATTGGACTATTACAGGAAAAAGGGAAACTTAAGTAGACACCAAAGCATTTAAGAAAAATTTTAAGGATGGGTGCTTCATAAACCCTGCAGTCATATGTGAAGAAAAGAGAAATAGGACTACGTAAAAAGGTTTGAGAAATATTCAGAGAACAAAAAAAAATAAAAAGGGGGAAGAAATGAGAAACTTGGGGAGTATCTACAACACAGGAAAAACAAGGCTGTGCTCGCCCGCTGATGCAGGGTTCTCGACAGTCTCAGGAAGGGCCTCCAGCTCATAGACTTGTAGGTAAAAAGTGGGGACAGGCCACTTGTGGAAAGTCACAATACCAGAAGGGGCACTTGCCCTTCTCCACAGCAACCCAAGTTCACAGGAAGAGACATCGGATCGCTTACCTGACCCAACAAGCAAAACTGTCTGAGAAGCCACAGTGTGAGCAAGTGCATGAAAGTCGCTGGCATCCACACTTGATGGAATGTCACCTGTCTACTCTTTTGGAGGGTCTAGCTTTTGGCACTGTCCATCAAAACTAAAATGGCTTGTGTCCCTGAATTGGCAACTCCACTTCTAGGAACGCATCCCACTTGTACATCTGTGCAAAATGGCAAAGGTGGTATGTTGTCCTATGAACTGCAGTGCGCAGCAGGGGACTGATCACAAGAATTACACTCTCTGCATCTGTGGGAGTTTTAGTGTAAAAAGCATTCAGGCACACCTTTACACATCCATGGAAGTATCACTAAAATCCAGCAAACAGGTTTTTTAAAAAGTGCAAGAAAGAAATGTGCATAGCATATGAGCATTTGCATGTACAACATAAGGGAGTCAGTGTTTGACTAGCATCGTTCTGACACTGGAAAGAATAGTGGTGCTTAAAGAAGCAAAGAAGGGAGTCACTTTTCATACTATTTCAATTTTTGCTAAGAGCAAGCAAGACATTCTTTGCCATATGTATAAAAGCAGGGTTGGGACAGGAAAGAAAAAGGCCACAGGGGTCTGCAGAATCTATTTGGGCTTTTTAGCTACCAAAGTTATATCTGTTAGTTTAAAAAAAAAGAAATATGCCAGACACAGAGACCACTTATTGTACGATCAATTAATGTGAAAAGTTCCCAAAACACAGTCCCACAGTGACAGAAGGTAGATTCATGGTAGCCAGGGATTGGGGTCGGGGCATGGGGAGCGACTGCTAATGGGAACAGGGGCTCCCCTTGGTGCAGTGAGAATGTTCTGGATTAGTGGTGAGGGCTACACAACTCTGTGAATATACTGCAAATCAATGAACTGTACACTAAGCGGGTGAAGTGGAGGTATTTGAATTGCAACTCAGTAGGGCTGTTATTACAAACCAGGCACATCATATGCTCCTGGACCCCCTAGCCTACTCAAGCCAAGAGATTTGTTCTGTTTGAATGCAGATTCCACCACGTGACTGAAGTAAGTTTCCATGTCAACCGCAAGCATTTCCAGTAGAAACGAGTCTGCGAAGTTGCACACATTCTTAAGCGGCCGACAACACGGCATTAATTAACCTTGATGTGCTGGCCAAGGACATTCCTGTGTCCATCCCACGCCGTAAAGGGTCCTATCACATGGTGCTGCTTTCCACCCCATTGCTGCCCGAATAGGGGCTCTTTGCAAGCTAACTGCTGCCGTCCCTTATATATTTGTGTCTCCTTCCTGTCCACAGCCACATCCTGCAGCTGGTAGAGGCCTGTCACCAGCTGTATGGCTCATTTCTTCCTCCTCTTCTGTGCTGGCAAACTAAGCAGCCGTTGGAGGGCAGCTGAGATCAGAAAGAACAGGGCTCTTCTGAGAAACAGGGCCTACACTGCACTGCAGAGCGTTAGGACTGCCCACTTTCTGGGCCACTCCTAAACTTTTAAGTGTGACTGCACACCCCGACTCGTCTGCAGGTGGATGAGGGTTCCAAACCAGGAGCAGGCTTGTTTTGCAGTGCTGGGGATGGAACTCAGGGCTCCCTGCATGCTAGGCAAGTGTACGGGGAGCTGCACCCCCACGCCCTGCGTTTAACAACCCTCCTGAACCTTCAGAGTCCCTGTGACTCATTAGGCATTATTCGCACACACTAAGCAGCCTCTGTTTTCACACTGGGCTGCTGGGCAGAGGCCTCTCCTACCACTCTCTTCCTTGCTGTGGCCCTTAGCTGGACAATATAACTCCAAGCCACATTTTTCTTTGCAGATTCCATGGGTTTTTTTTCTTCCCAGACTGCAGCTGCCAAGGTTCCTGAGTCAGCAGCCTGAGGTTGCAGTGAACACTATGTATCAGATCAGCTTTCTTTTATTCTTCTCAGCCTTGATTCTGAACACCCTGTGCCCAAATGGCTCACTAACTCCTTGAGTCCTCTGCAAAGCCGATTAGACTTGCTACACAGGACTTTCTCAGGCCATTCTGTGCGTATCCCTGCAGGCCTTTTAACAGCATACCACTTCTCTCGCTCCCTCTGTGTATGTGTGTGTATCTCTGTCTCATTTTTTTTTGTGTGTGGGTGATCCTGGAGATTGAACTCAGGGCCTTCACACTGAGCTACATCCCCAGCCCTTTTTCAAAATTAATTAATTAATTAATTAATTAATTTAGTTTTTACTTTGAGACAATTTGCTATATTTCCCAGGCAAAATTCGAACTTGCAGTCTTCCTGCCTCAGTCTCCCAGAGTGCTGGAATTACAGGCTTGCACCACCACATGCGGTTGCCTGCCATCTTTTTTCTCTTTTTAGCTGTCTTTGAAACTTGCTCTTTTGACAGTCTAGGAATTCCTCTAGCACCCCAAGGTGACCTGCTATCAACACACCCTGGAGTTGGGGGGATTGTGCCCTGTTGAATTGCTGACTTGAGATCATCAGAAACTAGGTCACATAAGCAGAAAGAGCTCAAAGAGCGACTAGGTAGTGGAAGCGTCTCTCTACAAGTCGCTCTGGGGCTGGGGTTCACCAATTCTCATACTATGGATCCCCACCCCCACCCCTGTATATATTCCGCTGTACATCTGCCCACGGTCCATGCTTGGGTTCTGATTTCTCACAGGTCACTGCTTTTTCCTCTGTTCAAAGGCCTGGCTTCCTAGCTAGAGATCTGGCTTTCAGCTCTCTACTTTATGGAGGCTTTTGTGTAAGTATTAAAAGCTACCAGTCTCTTCTTAGATCCAATACCCCATGTCCCAGGCCACTGGAACATAGCTTTTAGCACTTTATTTCTTGGCTTCAGATATTTCTGTTTCTCCGAGTTCTATATACAGAAATTTCTTTTTTAAAATTTCATTCCTTCTTGGTGATCATTTCCAAGTGTTTGGAGTAGGAAGAACTAGCTCAACTGTGCTGTCAGTTAAAAGCCTTATTTTCAAATTAAGTTTATTTCTTTTAGCCAAGTGTGGCAGTGCATGCCTGTGAATCCCAGCACTCAGGAAGCTGAGGCAGAAAGATCTCTGTGAGTTTGAAGCCAGTCTGGGCTATGTATAAGTTGAAGGCGAGCCTGAACTACATAGCAAAATCCTGTCTCAAATAAAACAAAACAAACAGAAAAACCCAAACCAACATCAAAAAAGTTCATTACTTTTATAATCAGAAAATAACTTTAATTTTTTTTTTTGCTAAAAACAAATATATACAGATGGTGTGTGTATTTACTTTCATGAATAATGAAATATTGACAAAGACAAAGGGTTTCTGCTCTGGTGGTGAAGCCTGTGGTCTACTTACTTGCTTGTTTGCAGAATAAAATGCTAAGTAATTTGAAACATGCTTCTCAGGGCTGGGGCTGGGGCTCAGGAGAAGAGTGCTTGCCTAGCATGTGTGAAGCCATGGTTTCCATTCCTAGCATTGCTAATAATAATAATAATAATAATAATAATAATAATATACCTACTTTCTTATCTAACACACTGAGAAACGCAGACAGAAAAAAGCGATCGACACTGAGAAATTCCCACCAGCAGCCTGCTTGGTACCTTTTGGCTCCTCCTGCGTCCGGTGAAACAATGATACAGTTTTTCCACTCACTGATGTTCTCCCGAATCCACTGCAGGACGGCGGGCTCTGCATACAAGTTATCCACCGGAATATCAAAGAATCCCTATGGGGACAAGTAGGTGTCACACTGCAGAATTTGTTTCTTTGAGAAGATAATTGCTTTCATTAAATAACACTTTAATTTTGTATTCCAAAGGAACCTTCCAACAGACTCCTCTTTGTTTTTTTTTTTTTTTT